ACATAACTTGTCCTGTCAGTTTGTTGATTTCAGCACCGCTATCTACTTCTACCATCAGTGCTTGCTTCGCAGTCGAGCAGTTGCGCAGCTTTCGCTGTACACATTGCAAAGTAAGACGACTTGTTTTGTAAAAAACATCAGTTTATTTTTTTTTGCGCTCTTTTGACTGTATTAATTAAAAATTGCGTTGTGTCCCCGCCATGTCTGTACATCTTGTCTACGTAATTTGAGAATTTAAAATTTTCGAAACGTTGTCTTTGGTCGTAAACGTAATTGTCAGCCTGCAATTAGTTTGCAGATCTATCTCAAAGTTGATTTCAAACCACTAGCTCCTTGTATCTTGATCGCAGCGTTACAGTAAGTCTGACACGTAAATCCAGAACTAAAGATGCTGCAGACAACAGTTATGCATTTTCTTCTGTATAACAGCTGCACAAAACATACTGTTACGCCTCCTTCAATGTGTTTGTTCCCGTTTGAGTATATACATATATATATATGTATATATATATGTATATATGTATATATATATATGTATATATATATATATACATATGTATATATATATGTATATGCACGTGTGTGTGTGTGTGTATGTGTGTCTGAGTGCATTTTGTCCCGCATTTTTGTCTCAGGACCAAAAAAGTTAAGAAGCTAAAATTTTAGGAGAATGCTCCCTGTCCACGTACAACTCCGCAGATTTAGATTCTTCCTTTAAGTACGCCGTAGTCTCACGACCACACGAAAGTTTCGGCATAGAAAATTACTACCCCAGAAGCCACAAGGATTAGGACGCTGATTTTATGAGGGTGCTCAATACCTTCGTGCGACCTAAAGATTTCAGAACTAGCGCCCATGTGAGCCCGGGTCTCAGTGCGGGTGCATGAAATCTTGGCGGGAAAATTACTAACTCGGTAACCAGAAAAATAAGAAGCTACAGTTTAATGAGGACTTTATGTGTCCATGTGGTCACAAAAAATTTTAGATTCAGCTTTCACATGCATTTACGTTTCACGTAAGAGCGAATGTACATTAGCTTGAAATTTCTCACTCTGGAATCAGACGGGGCGGAAAGCCGAAATTTCACGACGGTGTTTCATGCCTTTTAGATTCACACATAAGCCGTACTTATAAAAAAGTGTAAATTTTGGACTCTGTTTTTGCACAATTCAAGCGAATAAAATATTCAGATAACTTTGCACATACCAAACAACAAAGCAGTGGACATCTTTAGCAGTAAATGACTGTGGACGGAATTGCATAAAACGCCTGATCATACCAGCCACTTTGGTGTGCACCGCTACTTATTTTAGAAACTATTTCGAAAAAGAACTCGGTCATGAACAGTAACATCAAGCATATGTTTATGACAGTATTTTGTCCGAAGAGCAAAAACAGCTAACGGAATCAAATTTTTAAGGCTCAATTGACTAAGCATTTTGTGTCGGTTAGCACAGAAATACATTTGTCTTGACCTGCTGTATTGTGTTTAAATTGTTGATATTTTATAGATTTCGAGCAGGCTAAGCTAGAGCGCTTCTGTTGAGCGTGTAAGGCGCTGTGCGTGGCCTAAGTATAGTTTCCAAAACGATGGCTTTTTAACTCGTAGACGGACATCCGAGTGTGAGCTAGTTTTATAACTTTTTTCATGCACTGAGCCTGTTACAGTCACAATGAGATACAATAACTTATTTTTTTGTACACTGTGTCTATACAGCAATCTTCCACAGAACCGCATAGCCCTTCATTGTCCCAGTCCATCTCCCTTCTATCTTTCATCATTATGCTCTTAGCCATCACAAACACGGACGACCTCTCGACAATATGCGTTTTTGCTACAGCTAGTGTCGAGAGGTCTTCCGTGTGTGTATTCGGAAGCAGGTGTACTTTGTCACCCACTTTCAACTCAGCAGCCAGCTGGAAGGTTGAAATTTTGGGCCATATTCCCACCCTCACCCTTCCGTTTTAATGTCTTCGCTCATGCATGCCTAGATTTCGCATGCACTTCGCTGAAATATTCTACTTTTATGTGTGGTCTTAATTCAGTTTGGAGGTGAAATTCCCTGCAAGTGGATATGAAAAACACTCAGTTTTATTCGCAGATTCAAAAGCGAATACAGTTTGCACATTTCATAATCCTCTTCCGAATTCCTTCAAATTTGCATTTTTTCAGTGAGCGAGCATTCACCGGAAAAATGACTGGACTTCATCCAAAAAACTGGTAATCACGGTACGATGGTAGTCTTCATCCCAGCTAATGCCTTTTCCCTCTGCATGAAGGAAGAGTTGGAAACACTAATATGAGTCGG